CCTAGCCCTCAGTTTTACATGCCCCACCAGTCCTTCACTGCACAGCGACTCGCTCTGGCAGGAAGCTCCGATCAGGATTTGCTCCCCAGGGGCTTCATCCCCAGCCCACAGCAGCTTCCCCCACAGCAGCACGGCCAGCCCGAGGGCCTGCATCATCCCGGCCTCTAACTCTTCCCACCGCGCTTCGGGAACAGAGCCCACTCCCGCAGACCTCGCTCAGACACACAGCCCGTGTCTCCTGCCTCGCCTCCCGCACCGCCGTTCAGGCGCTCCGGGCAGAGACCCCTCCTGCCTTCGCACAACTAGTGGTGGCCAGCGATAGGACTAGAGGAAACGGCCACAAGCTGAGGCACCAAAAGTTCCACAGGAACTTGAGAAAACACTTTTTGACAGTGAGGGTGACAGAGCCCTGGAACAGGCTGCCCAGGGAGGTTGTGGAGTCTCCTTCTCTGGAGATCTTTAAAACCCGCTTGGACACAGCCCTGTGCCCCGTGCTCTGGGTGACCCTGCTTGAGCAGGGGGATTGGACTAGCTGACCTCTGAGGTCCCTTCCAACCTTAAGCATTCTGTGATTCTATGATTCTGACTACCATGACCAAAACACAGCTCCTTTGCACAAGGTGCTCTTTCCAAGGAGGAGATGGTGTCTTTCTCCCCAACACCCTGTCCCTGTGGGCCTCTCCCTTGCTCTTTGCCAGGCACCAAGGAGGACCCTGGGTGAATGCTCTCTCACATGATCCTATAGAAAACATACAGCACGCTGGAAGCTGGGCCGAGCAGTGTGTTATTTCCCTAACCCGTGCCCTGGAAACCAGATGGCAGGCCAAAGTTTTCTCTGACAAGCAGGAGAATCAAAGCTGACATGACTGGAGAAAACAAGCTCAATTCCTCTTGGCAGGATATTAATTTAGAAATCTCTGGTGTCATCGCCCCAATTCACATTGAATTTGAATCCAAGCTTCCATAGTGCCAGATGACACGGAGGCTTGACAGAGAAGGTAATTGGAGGAAATTGCTTTGTAATCTAGCTATTGTGCTGGCAAGAGCCAGTTCTCTAGAAAACAAGGGTCACTTCCTAGCAGGGTTGATTCATCATACTTTATTTGTCCCCAGTGCCTCTTGACTTTCCTCTGGCTAGCATGGGTAGCACAGCCCTTCAGAGGGACACTGCAGGTACTGGGGGGCATTCAGGCTTCACCTTCCCATGGTCAACAGCGGCAACAACATTGTGTGCCCGGCTGGCCCAAGGACTTGGTGTTGCTCAGCAAGGCGAGGAGCGGGCTGGAGCACATCCCATGGCCTACGTTGCCTTGACCCACAGCACGTGCACTTCCAGAGCCTGGGCTGTGCCGTGCTGGCCGCAGGAACAAGGACAGGGCACGTTCATCCCACCCAAAGAGCTCCACAGAAACACCGAGGAGGAGGGACAATCCTGACAGAGCTTGGACCAGAGCTGTCAGCCCTCATAACCGTATTCCCAGTGACATCTCAAAGTGACACACAGCCTAGGAGGAGAGGGACACTCACTGGAGATACCTGCCAGAGACCTTGGTCTTAACCATCAATTCATTCTTTCTTCTTAAAATGATGTTGTACACACAGTCAGCTCTGAAAAACAGTAAAACCTTGGAGGACATGAAAAGCTGCCCTGGTCCCACCACGGAAAAGGAAGACAGGAAAAAGGAAATTGTATAGAAAGCCCAAAATATGTTCTGCACTTTACCATTCACCTAGAAATGCTCATGCACAGTCCTCAAACCATAACACGTAACATTTTTTCCACTGCTCTAATAACAACCATATTATTGACCTGTGCATTCATGCTATTCCAGTAATCACTTTGTTTTTTTAACTGCGGTTATCTAGGCTAGATGGTGAACTGCTTTGGATGGGTGTCAGGTCCACTCCCAAGCTGCACCACCGAGATCTGATAATTTGACTGTTGGAACAATGTGAAACTCTATACCTGTTAGCTTTGCAGATCCAATCGATGGCAAGGCCCCCGCGGGAGCCCCGTTAAAAATGAGCTCTTACCCTTCAGAAAACTCCCTATTTAAATAAACAGCTTGAAAGATGGAGCATAACAGCAGTGTAAGACCTTGATATCTGAAAATATCTTTTTGATCCCTGACTTGATTCACTGATCAAGTGAGCACCAATGCACCGAACACACACAGAGGCCCTCAGTACGTGGGCCTCTGGAGTGGAAGAGCTCTATTGTTTTTCCTCAGCAGTCACAAAAAATATGGGATAATAAACACAGTAAGCAATCCTACAGAAATACCGAGGAGGATTCCTACCTACTGGTACCCAGAACTCATCTGGAATTCATTTATTCACACCGTTAACCTCCAGAGGTATTTGGAGAAGGACATATTCAACAGAGACATGAGGTTATTGACAAGGCCACCACTGCTTATCAATGTCCTCCCTGGAACTAACATGATCAAGACAGCAGAAGGGCATTTCAAAGGAGAAAATAAATATAGACATTTTGGGCAGTACCAGCACCACCTAAGAACCCAGAATTCCCCCCAAATGTCATTGCAAGTCCAGATACAGTTCCTGTCACCCTCAAAGGCAGGATATTTCTGCTTTCTGCCTTGAAATTCTTTATTGTTACCGGAAATAAAGAGAATCTCTGTTACATGGTGTGTCACAAAGGACTAAAGTCACCCCTGGGATAAGCCAGGATGACCTAGCCCCATGGTGTCTGGTTCTGCAGTTAGTTGTTGCCCATCAGACTCATGATTACTACTAAACATATCAACTAAGATGAATCCATGAGAGTTCTACAAGCTTCCCAATGGAAAGACTGCACAGAAAAACATCTCACCTGCCCGGTGGATTTCATTCCATGTCCTATTTTGCTGCCAAGGCATTCAAAAAGCTTTTGCCTTGCAGCAGATCATCTGCATTCAGTCACTTAAACAGCAGCAGCCCTGCCTCAGCTATGACTATTTTGAACCCTGAAAAAAAATCCTATAGCCTGATGGGAAAACATCAATCTGATTTGTGTATTCCTCTTAATTCACTATTACTTTCCTCACCATGATGGCTATTTGCTTATTTATGAACAGTGTCATTTCTCTAGCTTGTCCCGAGCCTGAGTCCGTACAGGGTCTGCAAAGCAAAATGCATGTTGTCTGCCCCTGTTTTCAGGGATGCAAGTAGATGGTCAAGCAGGAGCCCAGATCCCACCAGAGGATGAAGACCAAGAACCCCACGTGGTCTCCACTACCACCTTCTACAGGCAACTCCAGTACCAGGCTTACAACAGAGTAGGTGCTGTAGCAAGGGACCACACATACTAAATTTGAAGGAGGGAAAAAGATAAAAAAGCAGACACACACAGAAAGATCATGGATGTCTCAGGGCAAGTAAATTAGTGTTAATTGTGAGATCTTTGATTACAAGAAGCACCAGATGGCGAGCCATATGTTTTTGATTATAAAATCAAACAAGATTAGCCCAAACAGGATTTCCTCAGCATTCTTCTCTGACTGGCTCACAAATACATCTTTAACACCTATGCTGCAGATACGGCACAATCAGAAGCTTTTCCTGCCTTACTCTAATCTACTGGGGCTAAATTCTCTGCTGAGCAAGGCCTGCACTTAGAGGGAGATTTCCAAACGCAACAGGACTGAAGCAGCAGCGAGAGACAGATTAATTAGGAGACGAGAGCCCTAAGAAAGCCAGGACAAGCAGATGTAAAATAACACTCTCTCCTTTAGCCTGTCACATGGAAGGTCTGCTCGAAGGCTGCAAGCCTAGAGGGGATGCTGCTGAGGGCCGCAGGTTGCCAGAGGCAGTGAACCAGCCTGAGCACCAGCCTCTCCCTATCACATGTAAATCCTGGCGCCAAACCTTGCAAAATCAGGTCAGATTTTGGATATCGAGACAGTGCTACAGGCCCAGACCCAGCAGCTCTTCATCTCTCTGCTCTCAAACTTGCTGTCTTGGTCAGCTGGAGCTCGCGCGTTCCCTGGGAGCTGTTCCGGAGCCAGAAGGGCTTTTCCGAGCGCACCCGCTACCACACACACGTTATCATATCGGCTCTCACAGACAGAGCAGCGGGGCCCTCGTCTCCTCACAGGCTTTTCTCATGCAGATTGCGCACGCCTGCGTTTGTTGGGAGCAAATCAGTTGTGAATTGAACATAAAGGCTGTTACAAGGGAGATCTCCTATTGCACCATTCCCTCGCGTAAATCCCTGGGACGCGGACGGCCAGAAGACATCAGTTATATTCCACCCGCGCCTCCTCTCTTATCACATTGAGGCAGACAACACATTTGGGGAGCTCAGCTGCCCATCAGCTGAAAGACTAGGGGCCAGGGTGCTAGCTCACATAACCGTGGCATAAAATAACTATATGTATGTGTTCACTTTTGTGATGTCTTTGGAGGGAAAAATGCCCTTCTTTCAGTGCAATTTCCTCCCAGATGCAGCTCTGGGGCTCGCACTCAGCACCCAGCTTTGCCTGTCCCCCTTACTGCTATTAAAGGCAAAGGTGGAAGTGGTGGCGCAGATGCTAGGGATGTGTCCAGGAGCCAAAGGGGCTCTGGGATATGAGATCAGAGGCTCTACAGCCACGAGAACAGAGTCTTCCCCATAAAAGCCTGACCTCTGACTCCGCTCTGACACCAGATCTGCAATTAGCTCCCAGCGCACGGCGGCTTTGCCACCCGTACCGCGTTTGTTCTGCCTGGGAGGCGACAGCTCGCCGGTCCTGCGAGGCCTCTGCCTGCCCGAGCACCAGCAGCAGGGCTAACGGGACAGGGGAAACGGTGCCACGGGCGAGGGGAAGGACCCACGGCAACCTGTGGTGGGCACACGGAGCTGCAGCACGGCTGCTCCGTCGCGCTGGCCCTGGGGAGCTGCCTGTGCTGCGGCACCCAGACCCTCCTCCCTTGGCCTGGGGGAAGGCAATAATGTGTTCCTGGAGGACCCTCTGGCAGATTCCCCCTTGAGTGTTTAAGCACTTTGGAAGTCCTACCTGGAGCATGTCTGCTCAGTGGTGACAGTCCCGGAACAGAGCAGTGTGAGACCCGTCCTCCATCCTCCTGGGGGCATCACAGCCTTTCCTGCAAAAAAAGGCAAGATAAAAGTCCCATGCAGTCTCATCATTAATGTAACACAGGGCCTGATCTCCCTTGTCAGAGTGGAGGTCGCCCCTGCCCTGGCTGGCCTGGGGCAGGCGCACTGAGGGCTCAAGCCCAGCACTGTGTTACAGCTGGTTACCTCAGGGTTTTCACCTGCACTCACTCCTCCCACGTCCCCTCGCACTCACCAGGCACTGCGGGTGGTAGGTGCACATCCCGTCCCCAATCACTCCAGCTGAGGCAGGTGCTGGGATCCAGCACGGCACACGCAAAACATCCACATCAGCGGTGGCACAAGCAGGTCCACAGCAACCCCAGACCCTTACTGATCTGCTGCAGAGAGGAGCGCTCCATGAGCAGGAGGGAGAGTGACGGAGCTCACGGTGGGGTCTCAAATAAACACAGGTTTGGGCCCACCCACCTTTCCAGGGAGCATTAACCCAAAACAGCTGCTCAAGGAGATCACCACGCACCTGCAAGCAGCCAGCACCCAGCTCTGCAGCAAGGCAGCAGCCAAGACAGGGCACTGGGCTGCAGAGAGGTCCCTCCTCCTGCTCCCAGAGTGCAAGTCCCAGGGCTCTTGGTCACAAACACGTGTTGCACCACAGACCACATGCAACTCCATGCATGAAACCAGCACCCTCGCTCTAGCAGGCAGCTTGGCACCACCAGGGAATTCAAGGTAATGGATCTGCCAGGCCCAGCCCAGTTAGAACCAGCTCATTCAGACTTGAACACGTTCTGGAAACCACATCCCAGGCATCTTCAGGGAGCTTAGCTGCAAACTCTAACAGGTCTCTCTTGAGCGTTTGCAAACAACAGGCTTTGTTGTGGCCAGGTTTGGGTAGATACTTGCAAAAAACCCACATCCCTAATGCACTGACCATGTATTCTCACCCCCACATTTCAAACTTCCTGCTCCTAAGCACGTAGCACCTTCCCTTTTCCACAGAAAGCAGCAAGAATTTTTTAATGGGTGCGAATTATCTGCCTTCTGCAGTCTAATTCTCAGAAATGACTGGATCGCTCTGCACTGGCATTTCCCCAGAAGACCTCTATTGAAGGCAAATGCCTCAGGTGGAAAATCCCAGTCCCAAGAGGCCAAGTCTGACTGATATATAAGCTGCTGAACAGGACATGGCACCATAAGGAGAGCAGGGAATTAACATATAAGCACCGATATCAGTCCTGCTATAATAATACTACATATCTACAAAGCACAGCTTAAAAGGCAGGTTTTAAATGAAGGGAACAGATGGTCTAGAAAAAAAAAAAAAAAAAGAAAAGAAAAAAAAAAGATCCTGTGCAAAATGTTTGTTTGGAACAAGGAGCAAAAGGAAGGTGGCTTTGGGGAGACAGAGCCTTTAAAAGCAGTGCCCAGCAATGGAGGCAACGAATGCAGCTGGGGAGATGCCCCAGGAGGTGGAAGAGTAAAAATCAAAACAAAAAGAGAAGTCAGAAAATAAAAATACAAGCTTTTTAAACATGATTTATCTAAGCTGGTTACTTCTCTGTCTAACCAGATGCTTCCAAATGTCTGGAAAAGAAAAGAAAAATGTATTTTTACCCTTGTGATACATTACTAATCCGTATTAGACGGGTACAGGGACAACTACAGCTGCTGCAGCCAGGGAGCAAGCATAAAAATAGGAGGATTACACTGTAAAACAACAGACTTTAAATAGCTAGGCTATTATCTCTGAGGAATTTCAGAAAAAGCAAAGGTTCAATCCATCAAATGTGGAACGGAACGGGGTTAGATGCGATTCTGGTTCTCATGAACTGCCTGCAAAATGTCCTTGCAGAGACACTTGTGGCAAAACAAAGGCTCTCCCTACCTTGGGAAGAGCTGAGCAGCGACGGGCAGCCCCGGCTGAGCAGGGATCCTCCACCAAGGTGCTCTTGGACAGCGGCGCAGAGCAATGGGACCCCAGCGCACCACAGCTTGCCGCCAGAACAGGCACAGCGGGAGGTTTGGCCAAACCCGTGCCCACCTCTGCCTGAGAACAGCGGGAGAGGGATCCGCAGGGCAGGAACGAGCGCCTTCTTGGGCACCGGAGGAGACTGGCCAGCTGTGGAGCACAGAGGAGGCTCCGAGATTGTCGGGAACGCGCGGCAGGGAGCTGGGTTCTCAGCACATGAGGAGGGGAGGAAGGCAAGGCGCAAGGCAGGGCGCAAGGCAAGGGGCAGCACAGCCCGTCCAGCCCGTTTTCTTTCTCCCCTCCGGATCCGTGACAGAGCAACCAGAGAACACGGACTGCACAATAAGCCACAGAAAGGCCCCGGCTGACTCAGAATCAGACACGGAGGTGTTGCTGCTAAGTGAGATAGCAGCTGAGCAGGTACATAATGCAGCGAAGGGGAAAAACACACACACACAAAAACCCTTTATGTGTGATCCTCACGGCCCTGGTAGGAGCCCATGGCTTTGCTCTTGGTTATCCCCAGCCTTGTTCTCCTGCGGGATGGCAGGTTACCTCGGCAGGTCTGGCAGAGGTGTTTGGAGCCCCTGTCTGTCCTGCTGCCTTCCTCCCTTTCATTACTTAAGCTGTGAATAAGGGGTGAGGGGGGATTTTTAAACTGCCTTGCAAAGACTCCCTGAGGGAATGCACCAGCGTGACGTGAACCTGGTCACCTGCACTTCATTGACAATTCCCTTTTCCATCGTCACATGAAGTTAAAGCAGTTTTGTTCCCAGATGATGGGACAGCATCAGGTCATAAATTAGGGTATTTCCCACTAGCCAAGCGCAGGTCTGAGAAGCTGGACGACACTGTTCCTGTCTGCTCTGGGCTTTATGTCACTCAGGGCACGTGTGACAGCCCTTGGGGCGAGCCAGAGCAGAGGCAGGTTCTCCCATCCCTGCTCATCGCCTGCCCCGGCAGGACCGCACAGGACACCCTGCACCCTGCTCTGTGCATCCTGCACCCCATAACCCCCACCCCACACCCTGCTCCCCACACCCTGCTCCCCACATCCCGCTCCCTGCTGCAGCTCCCGGCCCTGGGCGCTCTCCCAGGCAGCAACCCAGAGCAGTGGTAGCACAAGGCAGGTTTCAACTCATAATCCCAAACAGAACATATTTTCCTTCCATTTATACTCTACGTGACGACCATTAATCTTTGGGGCTATAGTGTCTCTGGAGGCGCCTTTGCCTGCACAGACTTCCCTTCTGCGCAGCACAGGCTGCTCCAAACCACTTCTCAACTTAATCCCAGACTCCTCCAGAGCTCCGGCACACGCCGCAGGCAAAAAGCTGCTGCTCTTGGAGAGCACAGCGGGGATCAAGGAAGCCTCCTACACAGAAACCCAGGCCATGGGACTTTCTCCCTGACAGAGCAAGAGAAAAGAGGCTGCTGTCAAGCATAACGCCAAATTGCTGGGAGAAAGTGATGTACACAGGGCCAGAAGCACTTCCCTACCCATGTGCAGTCCTGTTCCCTTATATCCAACTATCTGGACCGGATTTCCCAGCCACATCCAGGTGCGTCGCCCCACGATGTAGACAGAGTCCCTGCAGTTTACACCTGAAGGTGCCTTTTGCCCTTGCACAAACAGCACCCCAGCTCCGCAGCAGTTTGAGGCAGATGTTTTCAGCTTCACCTGAGCAAATCCCCCCCAATAAAGCGTGAGACTTCTCGCAGCCCGCAGAGATTGCCTCCAGTTTCGAGGGAGGCTCGGAGCCGACCCTGTCTCGGGGTCTGGTTTTTGTTCTTTATTCATCGTTTCCACGGGTTTTTGCACTCCTGGATCGCAGCCTGCCTGGAAGCAGCAGCTACTGGAAAGCTCGCTGTGCTTTCCAGCCCGTGTGTGGAACACCCTCCTTGGGGAAGGTTTAATGCACTTCAGGTCCGCGTCTGCACGGCCAGGGGTGACGGCGCGCAGCCGTCCCCTCTGCAGCCCGGTTGCCCACCTACCAGCGCTGGTTTCTGACCCCAAACATGGGATTTTAGCCTGGAGCATCCCTGGCACGAGCGGGATGGAGCAGCAGAGCAAGGAAGCCCCGGGCTGACGGCAGTAGTGGGGACTGTGCCTGGAGGACGACTTGCACAAGGGACCCACTGAGGCTGCTAACGCTGCCCTCACCAAATGTCCCCTCTTTTCCATTCCTGGCCTCAAATGTCACCCCCCTCCTATAATTTCATTGCACACACAAGGCCTGGCAGCCACCTCCACAGAAAAAACACAACGGTCAGGAAGGGTTTAGAGCGCTTTCACCGCACCAAGACCCCAACGTGGCTGAGACACTCTGAGCAAAACTGTCTCCTGTCCAAGGGAGCTAAAAGGCCCTTTCCTTCTCTCCCCTTGCTGTTATTCTCCAGGCTCACAATGAAGGCCATTCTCTCCAGGAAGGAGGAATCCAAACCCCTCCTGCTAGTTATTGATTCCCTGCAAAGGGAAGGTATAGATTCTCCTTTGCCGGCCAGCTTCCCATTAAAGCAGCCGCTTTGGACCCATGATGAAGCAGCGGAGCCGAACGGAGAGGAAGCAGCAGCCGGGGATGGCTGCGGACTTGCAGAACTGACGTTTCCAACCCGCTGCCTCCCTCCTTCTACCGATCCCCTCAACCAAAAATGCTGCATTCACCCGGCCAGACAAGAAGGGAAATGAGAAGAGAAACTTTTATTTCCCTCTCCGCTCTCTTTACAAAAATGCCGCCCACCAAAGCAATGGGGGAACCTTGAAATTCAAGCCAACCGTTGAAGCAAGCTGGCTGGACTACTGAAAAGAGCTCGGCCCTGGGCTTTCAAAGGCTCAGCACCCTCAGCACATCCTACCTTTCATCCCATGCTGGTTTCAGACAGTGAGGTTGCACAGGAAGGTGGTGCCAAGAGGGACCTTGGCCACGTTCCAGAGTGCTTATGAACTATTTAGTACAGATATGGGCCAGTCCTGTGCCTGGCTGGCTCATGTCAATCCCACCATCACCCCCACCAGCTGCAGCGTTTCTGAAACACCTTTAA